CTTGATCAGCATGACAAGCCGAGTCGATATAGCCATATCCGTCTGTCCGTCTGCCTGCCTGTCTGTATGAACGCAAGCATCTCCGAAAGTATAAGAGCTAGAATAACCAAACTTGGTATACAGATTCTCCTGAGACCGAGAAAGGACGAGTTTGTTCATTTTTTCTGATCCACCCCCCCACTCCCCCCCTATTAACGATTTTCTATAACTCCCGTAATTCTTGGAATTTTGAACTAAAATTTGGTAGTCACAGTCAGGCGTGGCAGGCGTGGCAGACCCCACAATATATATTCTTGATCAGCATGACAAGACGAGTCGATCTATGTCAGTCCGTCTGTCTCTCCGTATGAACACCTGGATCTCAGAGACTATAAGAGATAGAGACACCAAATTTTGCACAAAGATGCCTTGTATGTACGGTGTGCAAGTTTGTTTTATTTTTTTCCCCCTTTTATCCCCTATGGGGGTTTTCCCGATTTTCCATTCGTATAATCGCCTATATCTCGGAGACTATAGGACCTAGGGACACTAATTTTAGTCCAAGATGCCTTTTGTGAATACGCAGGAAATGTGAATTTTGGAATTTCCCTCCCTCCCCCCTCTCCCACGCAAATCGTAACTCCCATAATTCTTGGAATTTCGAACCCGTATTTCACTATGATAGACAGATTTAACAAGTTATAACCATAAATATATTTGCTGCCCATGCGCTGCCCGCAGCTGTTGTTGATGTTTGGTTGACTGCAAACATGTTTAAACAGACACGAATAGACGCGCATAGACATTCATTGCTTTGTATATGTGCAATTATACACCCTTTACGTGAGTTCGAACACCTAGAGAGGTAAAATCGATCAACATTTTTATACAGGGTACAAGGGTATATTAGTTTTGTGCGAGTGCACATGGAACACACAGAAGGAGGCTTGGTAGACCCCACAAAGTATATATATTCTTGATCAGCATGACAAGCCGAGTCGATATAGCCATATCCGTCTGTCCGTCTGCCTGCCTGTCTGTATGAACGCAAGGATCTCCGAAAGTATAAGAGCTAGAATAACCAAACTTGGTATACAGATTCTCCTGAGACCGAGAAAGGACGAGTTTGTTCATTTTTTCTGATCCACCCCCCCACTCCCCCCCTATTAACGATTTTCTATAACTCCCGTAATTCTTGGAATTTTGAACTAATTTGGTAGTCACATTAGGTTCGTAATTATATATCCGTATACCAAGTTTCATTATGATAGAATGATCGGAAAGAAAGTTATAGCCATATAACCAGGCCCAATGCACACATACATACATATGTACAAGTACACAAACACGCATAAGGCACGATTCTGATGTAAATGTAAAAGTATGTATGCATGCATGGAATATTTTATATTTATTTAGTTAATATTTAGTTAATTAATTAAATTAATTTAGTTAATTAATTTAAATAATTAATTAAATTACTTTTTTGTGGGGTGGTACAGGGTATTTAAGAGTTGAGCCTGCTCGACTTTAGCATTCCTTTCTTGTTTTTTTTAATTTTCTTAATTTTTTAATTTCTATTATTCTAAATTCTAAATTATTATAATTATGTACAGAGTATTTCAAAGTCGGGACACCCGACTTTAGCTTTTTTACTTGTTTATGTATATACAAAAGTAGACACATGTTCATTACAGTTTCAACAGCAAACATTTACATAAGAATCGTGCCTGTGCGGGTTTATACGCGTATATGTATGCCGCACAAAGTTGAACCACAGCAACAACAACAACAGCTGCGGGCTGCGCTGCAGGCAGAGCATGGGCAGCAATTTTTTATTGCTATAACTTTCTTCAGAATTAACCTATCATGATGAAACTTGGCATACGGACAGATAACCACAAACTGGATGTAAATTTGAGTTGCAAATTCCAAGAATTACGGGAGTTATGAAAAAAAAAACACGAATTTAGGGGGAATGGGTGGTGAATCAGAATAAAATAACAAACTTGACCTGCCTAGGGCTTATGGGAACCTGGATACCAAGTTTGGTAATTCTAGCTCTTGTACCTTCTGAGATGCTTGCGCTCATACAGACGGACGGACGGACATGATTATATCGACTCGGCTTGTCACCCTGATCAAGAATATGTATAATTGTGGTCTGACACGCCTCCTTCTGCCTGTTACATACATTCGCACAAAACTAGTATAGCCTTTTATCCTTTGGGAACAGGCAATAAAAAGGTAGTATCCATAGTGCCATCGATATTTCTCTGTGAGTTTGTGAGAGTGTTTATGTGATGTTCCCAACTGTTTGATATTACGGACCCCAAATTAGAAATCTATCGGAGAAAATTTATAACAGAAACTTTTAATTTGAACCCAAGTGAAAAAATATTTATAAAACTCCTATATTTCAGGCGCCAAGAAAAATTACAAAAAAAAAGTATGCAGTTTTTCAGAGAGTATACAAACTAAGTTTGAAGTTTGAAAATTCAGATTTTCATACACACTTTGGAGCCTATTTTCCCCCCTTTGGAGCTCGAATTTTCCAAAATAACTTCTTAGTGGGCACCTACGCTATGAAAGGATACTTGAGTCCAAATTTCATTATTTGTCAATTTTTATTATTTGCCATGCGAGGCCTTCAATGGAATCCCAATCGGCGTTTGCCACCTTATCGTGACAGATTATGAACCTGTCATGGTGTAGTTTTTATTTGCAAGCTACTGGCGGGAGACATCCCTTCGGGCAACCTTATTCATCGTATAAGCTTCGTAGTTCCTTCTACACCTATACAAAATTTCCGGCCTCTACATCTTGAGCGCTGTACCTTAAATTTTGCATTCTACTCTCCTTTTCGTGTTCTGTTCTCAAATTATAATGAACTCTATCATTTAATTTGTTCTATTCAACCACCTAATAACTTAAGCAGTCACATCTTATACTTTACTAACCATCATTAAATACACTTGCACTAATGCAATACTAATCACTCGCTGTGAGTGGACTAAAATACCCCGTTAAGATTAGTACTGTATTACTACATTTTTATAGCCTGTACCCAAAGTGTAAAAGACTATACTAGTTTTGTGCGCATGTATGTAACACACAGAAGGAGGCGTGGCAGACCCCACAAAGTACATATATTATTGATCAGGATGAAAAGACAAGTCGATATAGCCATGTCCGCCTGTCCGCCCGTCTGAAGAAAGTCATAGCCATAAATAAAATCGCTGCCCATGCTCAGCTTTTAGCGCTGCCCGCAGCTGTTGTTGTTGTTGCACATATAAACACGCATAGACACGTGATGTAACTGTAAAACTGTACATAAACATGTCTTCTATGTATGTATGAAATAAATTTTCTTAATTAATTTTATTTATTTATTTTTGTTTAATTAAAAAAAAAAAATTTTTTTAATTTTTTTTTTTTTGCGGAGATTACAGGCTATTTTACTGTCGGTCTTGCTCGACTGTAGCGGTCTATCTGGTTCTCTTCTTTTTATGCTATAAGTTTATTTTTTTTTATTATAGAAATTGGCAGTATATTTGCCATTTATTATACCCTGTACCCAAAGGGTGAAAGGGTATACTAGTTTTGTGCGAATGTATGTAACAGGCAGAAAGAGGCGTGGCAGACCCCACAAAGTATATATATTTTTGACCAGGATGACAAGACGAGTCGATATAGCCATGTCCGTCTGTCTGTCTGTCCGTCTGTCTGTATGAGCGCAAGGATCTCAGTAAGTACAAGAGCTAGGATAACCAAAATTGGTATCAAGGTTCCAATAAGCCCTAGGCAGATCGAGTTTGTTTATTTTTTCTGATACACCCCCCCACTCCCCCCCTATTCATCTATAACTCCCGTAATTCTTGGAATTTTGAATTTGGTAGTCACATTAGGTTAGTGATTATATAGCCGTATACCAAGTTTCATTATAATAGAATGATCGGAAAGAAAGTTATAGCTACATAACCAGTCCAAATGCACACATACATACATATGTACAAGTACACAAACACGCATAGATACGATTCTGATGTAAATGTATGTATGCAATTATGGAATAATTTATATTTAATTTAGTTAATTAATTAAATTTGAATAATATTTATTTAATCATGAATATCCATGTTGTCCCCATCAAAGTAATCCCCCTCAGGTATAATGCACTTATGCCAGCGCTTCATCCAATCCTCGAAGCACTTCTGAAATGCAATTTTCGGTATGGTCATCAGATCGTTCTTCGATTCGGACTTTATCTCATCAATTGTTGCAAAACGATTTCCTTTCATTGGTGTCTTCAGTTTTAGGAATAGGATAAAGTCGCAGGGAGCCAAAACTGGTGAATACGGTGGTTGAGTCATGATTACGGTGTTTTAGGCCAAAAAACGCTCTAAATTTAGCAATTTCGGGACAAACTACGCTGACACACGTTTCATGCCCAAAACATTGGAGAAAATTGAATGGCATGAGCCAATTGATGTGCCAACATCGTCTGCAACTTTCATAATAGTGATTTGACGATTTACCAAAAAATTTTTATCACTGTTTCAATGTTTTCTTCGCTTGTTGTCGCGGTTGCAACTCCAGAATGATCATCGTCATCAACTCGACTCGGTGAATGCCACAGTGAACATTTCAAGTGACTTGGAGTACTTTATTTTATTTCTAACGCAAAATTTAATACATATTATTTATTACATTTATATATATATATATATTTATTTCAAAAGTTAAAAATTGAAGAACACAGAAACGTGACTAACATTTTCATTGTCAACAACAAACTACTAGTCCAAAGTGGCCAACATATGGTAAACATATGCGTACCAACATAACAAAAAACATTTGGATAATCGAAAGTAAACAGCCCGCGAAAATTTAAAATTCTCCTTTTCTTTTGAACAGACCTCGTATATGGACATTGGGCGGTTTGCCACGTCTCCATCTGTGCGTTACTAAAACCTTCCGTAAACTACGTACCCAAAAGAATATTAAACAATTATGAGGGATTTGGTTTTTAACTGTAATGGCGTTTAAGTCCACCACAATAAGCTTTTAAAACACTTTATTTTTATTTCAGTACAATTTTACACTGTAGATTAACTTCTACTTCAGTGTTCGTTTTCCTTTAATAACTGACGGCCGATTGCGAATATAACCCTTACGCCGCTTCGAGTTCTGAAATATATATTTATTTAATACCAAATTATTAACTTTTTGCCCAGCCAAAATACCTTTCTAGATATAAAGTTTGATGGGGGAATAAGTCTTTCATTTGCTTTTAGTGCCGGCCTGTTGAATTCATAAGGCTTCTTAACGCGATAGATTCGAACCAACCAATGCTCGGTTGTATAGGCCTCTTCCAGGTATGTCAAATCGAAATCTTTATTGCCTATTACAGCATTTCTGGTTCTATCGTAACCAGAAGGACCTCTGAAATGAACCAATAAGAATATTTATAAATAAAGATATTTTCAGAAAACACATTTAATTTCAAACAGAAAGCTTTAAGCCAAATAATTGCGTAATGTGCTATAATTTCTAGAAGCTGTATAATATGTTGTCAAAGTTGAATTTTGTTGCCGGTGCAATATTTGCCTAATGAAATGCCACGATTTTTTTTTTTTTTTTTTAATCCGATAAACAACTTTAAATGACAAATTTCGTTTAAAATGATTGTTTATTTTAATGTATTAATTTAATATTGCATTTACGTTTTATTATAAACTAGCAGGTCTTGCCCGTCTTTGCTGGGCTAAGTAAAAGTTCTATGTATGGTTATACGTACATATATACATATGTACATATCTTCGTTACGCACCGGGCGGAATGCCAGTCCTGACTTAACTATGTGCTTCCTCAGCACGTTGTACGCACGGTCGAGTTATCCCCGAAAAGTCCGACGCGGGACATTTAATTTTGATTTATAAATCGGGACGTCCTGCCAAAGTTGGAGCGTTCGGCAACGCTGATATGTACATACATTTATAATTTTCATGCAGGCGTTATCCGCCTATATACATACATACATACATATATGAATAAGTATGTATTAAATTTTTTAATTCAACACTAATTTGTGTCTTCAATTCCAAATATGATTGTTGTGAATGTAAAAGGTGTGTTACACTCACAAAATAGGCTTAACGGTAAATGACTCTTAGATTTGATCAGAATACATTTGTAGCGTTGTTAGCTAACACTAAAACGGTAAGTCGCTGTAAATATGCGATCAGCTGAGATGCTAGAGATGGGCATGTGCCGCATGCTCTATGTGCTAGAGCATCAAAACTATGAATAGTTAAATCCGTCGATACAATCAATAATTCGATCGAAGTTTGAAATAATAACACCTTATAATTTATTGAGATCAATTAGAACAAATCATATACAAACATACATATGTACATCTGCCCGCAACGCGAAGCAGAATATGCGTAGGTCCGCTTGTTCTGTGTGTGAGTGTATGTACATATATGATGCCCCAACTATTTGATATTTGCGTTCTTTGTAATTTGTTGTTGCTGCATAGTTTCTAATGAAAACCCTAATGCCAAATGTACTTGTCGCTGCGAAAACTAGTATTAAGAAATTTATCGTTATCGTTAAGTATTTTGAGTATGATCCTTCTGGTCACATGTGCGCATAAGTCGTTGTTTAAAAAAGATAATTTCGCTGTACCAATAAACATACAACACATAAGTGGTCCTTCGAGTCAGATCATATTATTGATACCACCTATAGTTATACAGTCCGCTATAAATAATAAACATTTACAAAAGTCAAAATGTGGCAGTGGAAAGATATTCAAATCAAGCGCATTGATTCTTGGAAATCGAAAAGCTTGGGAGACGTGCATTTTGCAACATTCCTGAAGTTTACAACCGAAACACTCGTCAAACGACAACTTTGTTCGTTTAGTGGACATATTTACAACAACGCAGCAAAAGAAAATCACCAGCTGGCAATTATCAAGGAACTAGGCGAAAACGATTTATTGCGCGTCTGTGAATTTCTTGACATCGGCGTCGATGCAAGCACGCCAAAAACTGTCATGGCGGCCAAAATTGTGGAAGCTATATCAATTGGTAGCATCGAAAGCGACGATGAGTCAAATGCATCGGATTTGGAGCTGAAACTGGAGGTCTACGAACAAATCGAAAATGTAGATGCGGAAAATGTAAACGTAAAGCGCCAAAAATACAAGATGCAGAAGGAACTCACTCAACTGCAAAACGCATTGGCAGAAGCACATAGTGACATCACTGCAAACGATGACCAAGGTATAGCGAAAATTAAGAATGGAATCGATAGGTGCACGCGTGAGTTGGATCTTCTTCAAGCAGAAGAAGAAGCATTGGTAAGAGAAATGTTCTGAAAACCAAAGCTGTACTGACAAAATGCTCTTCTTCAAATTCTGCACGGTCCAACGAAAAACACGCACGCTCGCTGTTAAACGAGCAAACGTCCGATTGGGTACACCAGCAACGTCATTCGGAAACACCACACGATGAATCCATGCAAACAACAATGGAAAAATTGCTAGCACGACAAGCTTTCGACGGCAAAAGCTTGGAATTCGACGGATCATCTGCGCTAACCTGGAAGCATTTTATACACCAATTTAAAACTTCAAGCAGGAACTGTGGATTTTCTGGCGAAGAAGACGTACATCGATTATCCAAGGCGCTAAAAGGCTCAGCAAAGGAAAAGGTTGCCTTATTGCTAATTTCAGCAACAGAGCCCTCCAAAATTATAAGTATTTTGGACAGGGCATACGGTGGACCGGAAAATGTGGCCCTTGAGCTAATGTCAAAAGAAAATCAAGTCAAATCAATAACTCAACTATCTGACTTTGAAGAGTTCAATTACGCAGTACAAAACATAAATGCTGCACTAAAGTATACAAAGGGAACTCTAATCGACACTCAAAGACTTCTTGCTACGATGATTGGGAAATTGGCTGAAAACTACCTACGAGAATGGGGCGCATTTTTAAACGACAAAGGCATGCGCGCTTCCTGCTGTACATTCGACACTCTGGCTGAATGGTCACAGAAACACGCTGATCTTATTCAAGATATTTCATTCTTCCAAAAGGTGTCAGCAATTAATAACCCGGTAACATTGTATACAGAGCAACAAAAACCGAACAAAATAGTTGATACGGCCGGCCACCCAAAGCCAAAGGCTAGAGCAACTTGTTCTATTTGCAACGAGGATAAACACGACCTCATTAAATGCAACGTTTTTCTCAACTCTACTGTAAAGAAACGCTGGGACCTCGCAAACCGCCAAAAAGCGTGCTATTGCTGTTTGAAATTTCATAAAGATCAGTGCAATCTAAGAGAGGCTTGCAAAATTGATAATTGCGAGAAATTTCACAACAAACTGTTACACAAACAGGGAAGCGAGGCGACGGTAGTGGCACCGCAAAATTTCAGCGGAGTCATTGCGGAACCAAAGAAGAGTGTCCTTCTTAAAATGGTACCAGTCACAGTTCACGGAGAAAAACATTCCCAATAGATAATTGCCTTTTTAGATGAAGGAAGTACATCCACAATCATGGATATGAGTCTGGCACATAAAATTGGTTTAAAAGGAATAAATGAGCCCTTTTGCTTTAGCTGGACAGGAGGAGTATATAGATACGAGTCAACAGCAGAGCGAGCAAATATCAGGCTAAGTGATACCAGAGGCACAATACACGAGTTAAATGATGTATGGCTAATAAACGATTTAAAAAGTTACAAAACCAACCACCACTGCTGCTAATAGGACAACGCCACGCCAACTTGATCACCACAAGAGCTGTCATCAATGGAGATGAAATACGACCGATGTTATCCAAAACCAAACTAGGTTGGGTAGTACATGGTCCAGTTGATGTGGGCTCAAGAGAGACAAATTTCGTCTGCTGTCAGTTGGAAGATCAAAATCTACAACAAATGATCAAGCGCCAATTTAGTCTGGAAAACTTCGGTGTGTGCGTAACAAGCATTGATAAATCGCAGTCCGCAGAAAATCACCTGGCAGTAAAAATGACTGAATCATCAATAATTCACAACAAAAACCAATACATCGTCAACTTACCTTGGAAAAACGATAAAGTAAAACTCCCAGATAGCAAGGCAATGGCCATACAGCGTCTAAGGTGCCTGGAACGCAAACTACTGCGAGACAAGAAAACAGCGGAGGCATATAAAACAGAAATCCTGAAATTATTGCAAAAGGGCTACGCAAGTAAGCTGCAAGACGAGGATGTTTTAAAGTCCCCAAAGCTATGGTTCCTACCACACTTCGCAGTTTGCAACCCAAGCAAACCAAGGAAACTACGGCTCGTATTTGACGCGGCGGCTGAGTGTAACGGTACGTCGCTAAATAAAAATTTGCTGACCGGTCCAGACTGGACAACATCAATAGTTGGCATATTAATGAGATTTCGGCTACATAAAATTGCATTTGTAGCAGATATTCGCGAAATGTTCAACCAGGTTCGCATTGCTGGCAACGATGCAGCAGCTCAATGTTTCTTATGGAGAAACCTAAATACAAATACCGAACCAATGGTATACCAGATGAAAGCCATGTTGTTTGGCACAACATTATCACCATTTTTGGCACAATTTGTAAAAAATTACAACGCCAAAAAATACGCAAATGAATACCCAGACGCAGTCAAATCTATTATAGAAAATCACTATGTAGATGATTATTTGGATTCGAAATCATCAATCGAGGAAGCAAACAGCATAATAAAAAGTATAAGGTATATTCATGCAAAAGCTGGCTTCGAACTTCGACAATTTCTTGCTAATAGCGAGGAGGTGATGAACCAAATTCCATTGGAACTTCGATCTGGCAGCGCCGTCGCAATGTTCGGCGACAAAACTGATCTTCAAGAAAAGATTCTTGGAGTTCTATGGGACGCAAGTGGCGACTATTTTACATACTCAATGAGTACCATGCATCGTGTGAGCAGGGACATATTAATGGGCAATATCCTTCCTACAAAGAGGAAGGTATTGTCAGCCGTGAACTCAGTATACGATCCACTGGGTCTGATGACACACATAACAATAAAAGGCAGAATTCTTATGCGAGACATATGGACTTCCGGCATTGGCTGGGATGATGTGGTCAACGAAGATCTCAAACCAAAGTGGCAAAAATGGTTTGCAGCATTGGCTTCTATAGAAAACACGAAAATACCCAGGTGCTATAGTATGGACCTACAAAAGGTCGATCGCATGGAGATGCACATATTTAGCGATGCCAGCAGTAAGGCATACGCAGCAGCTGCATATCTAAGATATTGCTATATGAAAGATGACCCGAAATACGATGTGGCACTAGTCGCATCCAGGGCAAGAGTTTCTCCATTAAAATCACTAACAATTCCAAAGCTGGAAATGATGGCTGCATTGATGGGT